TGTAATGGAAAAAGAGAATTTCTCCGGTGCCTTTCCTAATGAAGGGGCATGGATGCCCTCCCACTAAATTACTTCCATTGGACTTTTTAGCCACATCATTTTAACTTTTAAAATTGCATAATGGCCCTGTCTTTTTATCCTTATTTAATTTAACTCATCTACACATGCTAATGCCATTTAAAAATATTGTTTTTAAATTGAATCAATCATTCCGTTCTAAAAAAGATTTTAATTTGATTTTTTAGGATCGAAATTAAAAACTTTGGCCATGAAATTTAAAAAACAATATGTTGAATAATAATATCAATTTAAACTACTCCCTCCGTCCCAAATTATTTGCAACGTTTACTTTTTCAGCAGTAGCGGGAACTTTTGTTTATTTCTACATTTTCATTAATTATTTGATAAAATAAAATATTCTTGATATCTCTTATTTCGAAGAACTTTTTTATGTAGTTTTTTGATATGTAAATTTTATTTTTTATTTCTATAACAATATGTATATAAAATGAATTGAAAAAACTTGATATTTTGCCTAGGGAATACAAATGTGGCAAATATTTAGGGACGAAGAGAGTATTTGATTTGTCTTTAAGTATAATTTTGAAATATCATATTTTGTTATAAAATTTATTAATTATATATATATATATATATATATATATATATGAAGTACTAAATTTCACTTTCATATAATTTATATAAAAATTAAGAGTACTCCCTCCGTCTGAAAATGTTCTTCACATTCGACTTTTATTAGTCAAATTTTGTAAATTTTGACTCTAATTTGTGGAAAATATATATTATATTTTGATATAAATTTAAGAGTAAATTCCATAATTGGTCCTTTATAACAGGGAGGTTTCCATATTTAGTCCTCTGTTATCATATATTACTCTCGTAGTCCTTTATTTAAGGGCGCCTTTCCACAAATGGTCCTTTTTTTGATCTTCTGCCATGTCGGTGTTAATTTAAAGGCTAAAAGTATAATTTCACATCAACATTATGTCCAGTGACGTGTTCTGATATTGATTAAGCGAATAACACAAAAATAATAACTATGATTGTGGGCTAGGATTCAACGAAAAACCACATTTGTAGACTATGGTTGTAGTAGAAAGCGACTATAATTCACAAACGACTCAAACGGAACAGCCTTTAGAATTGTGTATGATAAAAAAGATATATATTATCATTGTCAAATTACACTTTTAGCCCTCAAATTAACACCAACATGATAGAAGATAAAGGACTATTTGTGAAAAGATACTCATAAAAAAAGACCACTAGGATAGTATTTGATAATAGAAGACTAAATAGGGAAACCCCCTTGTTATAAAGGACTAATTATGGAATTTACTCTAAATTTAATATCAATATATTTCTAATGAATCATAATTTTGAAATATCAAAATTTTATAAAATATACCTATGTATAAATATAGTTATTAATAGTCAAAATGTAGCATTGGAAATTGTGACAAGTCAAATGAGAAGAAAATTTCCGGATAGAGGGAGTATATAAAGTTTTAATAATTTTTTCTTTTGATTTTGACATCAGATTTATTTTGATTTTTCAATTTTTAAATTTTAATTTTTTTTTACTTTAATCTTTTTACATATAATATTGAAATATCTTTCAAGAAAACTAATTTTAAAAAATTAGTTTTTCTAACAACCAAGTCCAAAAGATACTCTCTTTGGCTTTCCGAATTTTGACTTTTCAGATCAAACTGCCAAGTGAAAAAGCCATTATTCAAACACCGATTTTTGTTGTTCAATTAGTGAGATAACACTTTTTAAACTATTAGGTCTTCTATGTGACACTTTACCATTAATATGCATGTATGTGTGTGTGTGTATATATATATAATTAATAAATTTTATAAAAAAAATATGATATTTCAAAATTATAATTAAAGACAAATCAAATAATTTAAATTTATATTATTATTCAACATATTGTTTTTTAAATTTCATGGTCAAAGTTTTTAATTTTGATCCTAAAAAATCGAACTAAAACTTTTTTTGGAACGGAATGATTGATTCAATTTAAAAACAATATTTTTAAATGACATTAGCATGTGTAGATGAGTTAAATTAAATAGCATAAAGAGATAGGGCCATTATGCAATTTTAAAAGTTAAAANAAAAAATATGATATTTCAAAATTATAATTAAAGACAAATCAAATAATTTAAATTTATATTATTATTCAACATATTGTTTTTTAAATTTCATGGTCAAAGTTTTTAATTTTGATCCTAAAAAATCGAACTAAAACTTTTTTTGGAACGGAATGATTGATTCAATTTAAAAACAATATTTTTAAATGACATTAGCATGTGTAGATGAGTTAAATTAAATAGCATAAAGAGATAGGGCCATTATGCAATTTTAAAAGTTAAAATGATGTGGCTAAAAAGTTCATATGGAAGCAATTTAGTGGGAGAGCATCCATGCCCCTTCATTAGCAAAGGCACCGGAGAAATTCCCATGGAAAAATACCTGTATTATTATGCAGTGAAAAACCTATACTTCGTACTTAAATAGAGTCCAGAAATTTTTTTCCACGGTGAAACCTTAGCCGCAAGTGGTCAGGTGATTTCTCTTGCTTCTTTTATAGCGGCTGGAGCTTTGGGGAATTGCAGATCTGGTCGCAGCGTGGAACGAAGAAGAACAGATGCGAACTTCTGTGATGCGCTATTTTCTGTTTTGGCGCAGGCCTATGAATTCTCGTGATCGGCCCTGAGAAGAATGGTGGTCAAGGCAGATCGGAGTTAGGAGGCCAATCTGGAAATTCAACCGCTCCTTCAGTCCATGGACTGATTTCTTTTTTCCGCTCCTTCTTTCCCATATCAAATACGGAAGCGCCAGATCTTCAGTCCATCTGCTATTATATCTCCTTCGCATCCCGCCGCCTCTCTTCACACAAGGTATGTATTTTCTTCTCTCTCTTTTCTTGATTCATCTTCTTGTTCTGTTTATTCTTGAATCCCACTTGTTTAATTGCAATTGTTTTTGAAAACTCCGACATGATTGAGCTTATTATCGGTCCGTTCAACCTATGTTTGTGCTGTGACATTTTCTGAATACCTTTGAAACCTAGATTCTTAGATTAAACTCACTTCCAATTATTTGATGTGTTTGGTGATGTGTTTTCTAAGAGTTAAAATTGACCATAGTTAAAAAGAGTAGTTGAGCCTGATTACTTGATTTGATTGACAGGTTGTGGTGCATCTATTTTGCCTAAGGATTTGCTGGCCAAGGACTCTTCTGCATCTGTGGAGGTTATATTGGGTTAGCTTGGGTTCGTTTGATCTGATCAGATTGAGAAAGAAGACTAACGAGCCATGGGTGAAAGAAAGGTTTTGAACAAATATTATCCGCCGGATTTTGATCCGGCAAAGATTCCGCGCAGGAAGCAGCCAAAGAATCAGCAGATGACGGTTAGGATGATGCTCCCAATGAGCGTTAGGTGCAGTACTTGTGGGAATTACATATACAAGGGCACCAAATTCAACTCACGCAAAGAAGACGCCGTTGGCGAGAACTATTTGGGCATACAAATATTCAGGTTCTACTTCAAGTGCACAAAGTGCTCTGCCGAAATTGCGTACAAGACAGACCCAAAGAATTCTGATTATGTGGTTGAGTCAGGTGCAACGAGAAATTTTGAACCTTGGCGCGGCCAGGATGAGGAAATTGAGAAAGAGAAACACAAGAGGGAGGCCGAAGAGATGGGTGACGCGATGAAGTCATTGGAAAATAGGACCTTGGATTCGAAGAGAGAGATGGATATTCTTGCTGCTTTGGATGAAATGAAATCAATGAAGTCTAGACATGCTACTGTGAGTGTGGATGCAATGCTTGAGGCACTGAGACACTCTACTGAGGAAAAGGAAAGGAAAATGATGGAAGAAGAGGAAGCTCTTATTAAATCCTTATTCAAAGGCGAGCGAGAGAAGTTCATAAAAAGAATCCGTGAAGAAGAAGATGATGATGATGACGATGAGGATTTAGATATAGTTGCAAATACAAGTGGAGAATCATCAAGCAATTTTTTTAAGAGGAGAAAGCTCTCTGAACTTGAAAGTAGCCCTACAGATGTCCTCGCAAAGCCCAATGCCTCCTCTGACACCTCCATTGACAAAGACAAAGCAATGAGGAAAGGGGATCAAAGTAATGAGAAAGTCATTTTCAAATCATCATCAATCAAAGTAGCTGTTGTGAAGAAGCAATATTTGGATAGTAGCACGAAGAACAGTGTCAGAGAAAAGAAGCAGGAGGTCACAGTGACCACCAATGCAGAGGATGAGAAGCAGAAGGAAGACGAGCCGGAGAACTTGAAAAGCAATGGATTACTGTCATTGTGCGAACAGTATGAAAGTGACGATGATGATTAGTAGTCGTTAGTACAAGTTAAAATAACCTCCAAACTTGTGTTTGAGACAGTTTTGGGTGTTTTTTCAATTCGATGAGTCTGATGGTATAAGCTTTCTTGTTCACTTGGAGTCTTATTTCATATGGTAAGTTGTTTTGTATGAAAAGTTTAAGCAGAAATAGTTTGAGTATTTTTCTGAACTTAAAACAAGTAATGCTCTCTTTTTGGGAATGACATTTACTTCTACTACTCATTATTGTCACGGCATTGCCTAGGCTGCCGGACGCATTGGAGCTCTTGCCACTTTGCCAGATTTCGACATGTAGTGTATGATGTCGCGTTAGGGATGCTTGTGCGTCCTGCGCGTTAGTCTAAAAATTCCGGTCTGGACTGGTTTAACCCCGGTTAGATCCGGTTTTAGACTGGAAAATCGGGCATTTTCTTTTTACTTTTTCTTGGATTATTTCAATTTGATTTTTATGACCTAGCTTTATTGGGAAATCGGGCATTTTCTTTTTACTTTTTCTTGGATTATTTCAATTTGATTTTTATGACCTAGCTTACTTTTAGTTTTTGTTGATTTTGTTTTAAGAAATAAGAAGAATATATATTGTTATAAAAACAATGTCAGTGTCCGAGGAGTAGGACGCGTTTGGGTATTAAAGAACCAGATTGGGCATGACAGAACAAAATGACCACTTTTGAATGCTTTGAGGGAGGAGACTATAAACCATATTTGACAACCACAACAGGCTACATTGCAATAAAAAAAATTATGAACAATTGATGGATCAAAATTCCCCTTCATTCCTCTCATAGTGACAAAATTTTATATATTCATCAACAAAAAAAACTAGCCATGATGATGATGAATAAATCGTTCAATTTTCTTGATGGTGCACTTGAGCTCCTTTTGAATGTTCAACCTTGAAGGTGACAACACAATGTCTTTCCAAAATGAACCTCTCTGGTATGCTGGGTGAGGGTGGTTATACAGGCTACATATCGAGTCCGCATCCTCGTTCAATCTCCCTACCACTTTCAACACATTTATCTCATCTGGATCAACCAATAACGTCTTGTCCCTGTCCTTCCACCCTATCAACTTGACCCACAAAAATTCAAGTTCCCTTAGATTTTATATATATGTATATGTATATGTGTGTGCATACATGTGTACTATGGAGTATATATCAACATTGCAGTGAATGTGAGACAATAGTATATAGAGGGAGATTGTCTCATAAATATAGGGGTGTATCCTGGTAAAATGAAATTCTGCATGAAGCATACACGTTTAATTCCCCAAAGTACACAACTTTATAAACTGCAACTGCCTAAAAATTGGAATGAGGAGGGTAAAGAGTACAAGAAGGTACATGTACGTACTTTGGGAGGGCCTTCAAGAGCATTTGTGCTGTAAAGTCTGGCATTATCTACTAAGTTGCAGTATGTTGTAAATGCATTTGCAAACCTCTTGTGAGACTTCAGCTGTGAATTTACTCTCACAGCTCTTCTACACATGATAGCTCTCCTGTTTAAATCACACCCCAAGGAAACCCAATCATCATTTGAATCACTTCATAGAACAGCAAATCTGACCTAAATGTTGGTTCTTTTACAAGTTGGTTCTTTTAATACCTGATTCCTCGAATAACAGCTAAATAAGCATCACAGACAACTCCAACCAATTCTATTCTGTAAGCCCTTCTCTTTTTAACCCCATCAACAGGGTCGTTGGGCTCCTCGTCAATCCTTTCCCAGTAATTCTCAGTCACAGTTCCGTCATCTTCAACTCTGTAGCCAGCTCCCATCCTATAACGGTACCGGTGAACATTTCTAGCCATTGTTATTGTCTGTACCACAAACGGTATCCAAGAAAGTGTGCCATCCATGATCACATCCCGTCCTTCATTCAGTGCAGTTACAAGCAGAGATGATGCTGCATCCGTTGATGATTGATGCACCTACAAAAATACAGTTGACGAGTGCGAGGAATACTTTAAAAGCCAAAGGTGTGCACATGTTAAAGAAAGTAAAGTTTTATTAAGCTAGATAAAACAATCCATTTTCTTATGTTCGCTCAGAACAAGAATACCTAGACAAGGTTCTCTCAACCTAATTTTTTTCAAATCTTAATTTTTTCCCAGTAATGTCAGTAGAATCTGGAAAGGTTTAGTGAAACTCCAAACTTTAAAAAATGTCCAGTAAAATTGAGAATCTTTTTAGGAATAAATAGACTTGTAAACTAAATAAAACTACGGAGTCTATGAGAATGATAATAATAATTCTTAGTATTATAATATTATGTATTACAAAATTTAGTACCCGGAGTATTATTTTCCATCATCTCCGGTGGAGCCAAAAATTCACTATTTTTTGCCTTTGGGGTGATAAATCAAAGCAAAATGGATCTCTAAACTGTTTGCGCTTCTTTAATTAATGAAGTAGCAGTTAGTCAATCAATGCAACTTCGATGCTGAGCCAGGGGTCTCTTTGGAAACAGCCTCTCCACTTTCGAGCAGGGGTAAGGTCTGCGACACACACCCTCCCTAGACCCTACTCTTGTGGGATTCAACTGGGTTGTTGTTGTACAAAATTTAGTATTATTGCTACTAGTAATATTCCAATACTTTCATTATTATTAGAACTGGTGCCAAGCCCTAAAAATAATAGTGCCAACACTACAACACACTTCAAATTTAAAATTATAAATTTTGAGGGTGAATACTATTTTACTTTGATTACAGCAAAATAACACCTAAAAATATTTTGTGCCAAAACATTAAGCTGCATGTTTATCAATTTTGCTCAATGAAAGTAAAGATCACACCATGTATGAGTTCTAAGTCTAACAAAAGCTCGAATAGAGCTTTTAATTCAATTGAGCACTTTTTTTGTTAGCCAAATGTATTTTTAACTTGTACAATATTACAGTAACTAACAATGTACGGAGTACAATTCTATTTGATCTTTAAAAAACAGAGCTCATCCGACATATTTTGCAAGAGAATTATTTGAAAATAATAATAAAGCCCACTTACCAATCTCTTTCAAATTACATTGGAAGAAATATGCATCTAAAAGCTCTTGTCATATATTTTACTCTTTTCTACAGAAATGAAAAATGAATAACACTAGAATTCAATCAACTTTTATTGTTCAGAATGTGTGTTGGTTACATGTACTTGAACTGAGATATCAATTCTACAAAGAAACTTCAATGTGGAAGAAAGATCACATACTAGACTGTTTGACAATGCAAAGATATTGAAATGCAAGATATTCAGACCGGAAATGCAAACTTGCACACAAACAAAGTTGCTTAATAGTTGTAAAATATTGAAAATCATTAACATGCCACACAAATACTACTTTTAATATAAATTCTTGATCATTTATGTAGTACTTGTAGTACTTTATTAATATTTAATGTATCGTAAAAAAATGTTAATATAATATGAGAGTTGTTTTTTACTGAATTTTGAATTTTTTTTTGAAAATTATATGATAATTAATTTAATAAAACTGTTTAAAAAAATTTTGCTTAATTTCACTGACTTAATGTATAATACAAACACACACACATGCACTTAATGTATAGATAGTGTATTTCAAACTATATTCATATTAAGTTCCCAAAACTATTACGGAGTACTAATCAAAATTAGCTTGTTTCAAATATAGTTAATTAATATGTTTCTTAAGGAGCAAAAGCGCATGAACATTTGAACATTCAGAAAAATAAATAAACTTCAGACACCTTTTAGCAAAAAAGAAAAGTTCAGTAAAATTCTGAAAATCCAGTAACAAAACTTACAGAAAAATCAGGTGAAAAAAAGTCCTTGGGTTACTAAACCTTTTAGCTTATTTGAAATAATGACATAATCAGTCTCGAAGTCCACATAAGTCAGATGTTTAAATGGGAGCTTTCTAATTCTTTTCTTCCTTTGTGCGTGATACTTATTTTCTTTAGAGAGGGGAGTTGTTAGAAAATTTGAATTAGGAAAACGTGGATTATCTGAAGGCAGTGTATTCACATTCAGATTGAAACAATTCGGCAGTTCACTGGAATCTTTCAATCGGATATAAAGTATAGAGATTGCTGTGATAATTTTGAACCAGTGTGTTGACCAATCTTGCGGACAAATTTTATAGATGCTGGGAAGAACAAGAACTACTGTTTGGTGGCTCTCTCTAAAGTTTGTGTTTATTCATGCGAAGTGTTCAAGAGGATGCGGTTCAGATGTTCTTGTGTACACATCCAAAAATAAAAAATTCAAATGAATTTTTAACACAGCAATTTGTCCAAAATAAATAATTTTCAAGCTGACGACCCCACTCAGGGGCTCTGCCCCTTGGACTTGCCTCCAAAGGCGCTGCTCCCTTGGAACCCCCGTTTAATAATTAGGGGACAAATGAGGCTATTATCATAATAAACTCAACGAAGTATGCACTCCGCACCACTGGACTTTGATGATTATTATGATTGCATAGGTCAAATAGTCACTCCAATTACACTAAATTACTAAAACATGTAACATGAGTGAGATTAATTTAGTGAGAGATAGATGTGTACCAATTCTGCTGTTTGAAGCATGTCATGATGGCCCCTGGAACTAAGAGCTTTGTAGATCACATCGGTTTCTTTGAAGGCATCTGCCTCTATAATAACAGCATTCCCAGCTGCTCCAACCCAGAAAGGTCTACAACCAACAAACACGCACCTAAGATAAGATGTATGTAGACTTTACTTCTATGCAATGAGTAGGGAGGTTTTTTCATTTTTAAAGTGTCACTGCTTTCTTTACAACAACAACAACCCAGTTAAATCCCACAAGAGTAGGGTCTGAGGAGGGTGTGTGTACGCAGACCTTGCCCCTACTCGAAAGTAGAGAGGCTGTTTCCAAAGAGACCCCCGGCTCAACGTCGAAAGTTGCATTGCTTGACTAACTGCTACTTCATTAATTAAAGAAGCGCAGACAGTTTAGAGATCCATTTTGATTTATTCCATCACACCCCAAAGCCAAAAAATGGTGAAATTTTGGCTCCATCGGAGATGATGGAAATGACACT